CGTTGGGCGCTCGCTGGCATATTATCTGATTTTTGGAGGAAATAAACAAGTTGAAACCAAGTAAAAGTGCTCTAGTCGGAGGTTACCGACTAAAAGATGCCCTGAATTCAGCGTCAATATGCCTTTACAAACATTCCAGCTTACATCAAACTTACATAGTAAACAGTAAACTTAGGTAATTAGTTCTGATAAGTTCTGCGTGTGCCGCAGGGGCAGCAACGTTTATAGTCTCTAGTTTAATAGCCTCTGATTTCGGCGGGTTTATGCAAATGGGCAGAGAGATCAATCAGTCTGATCTGAACTACTGATCACCATCCCATCAAACGGACAGACAAATGTTAGTTATCAATGAGCTGCACTTACATCCTTGGGATACATGCCCTCCGTATTCTTTAGCGACTTGCATTGCGGATAGGAGATGAGCACCTCAACAACGGCTACGTGACCGTTCTTGACTGCAAAATGCAGTGGCGTCTCGCCACGACCCTTATCGGGCATATTTAGATAATAATCGAGCAGATTCACATTTAGGGCGGCGCACATTTCGCCGCTGCTCTTCTTGCCCGCATACAGCTGGGTAAATTCACGATCCGAGATTATCTTCAATATTAGTTCGGCGACGCGTGCCTGATTGACCTGGGCGCAAATGTGCATGGCATTGTAGCGATAGCCTTCCTTCAAACTGGTGGGTGTGTCGCCGCTGCTGATCAGAAAACGCGGATTGTCCCAAACAACGCGTTTCACCCGCTCATAATTGCCAGCCTCGATTTGTTTGCGAAATTCGACAAGCTCCTGTTTGGTGGGCGCCCGAAACGGCGGACGCTCTGCATTCAATGAATTTGTGCTGCCGCTGCTGCAACTGGCTGACATGCTGCCAACAGTGACGACACTGATGCTGCTGCTGCTGCTGCCGCTGTTGGAGTTGTTGTTGTTACTGTTGCTGTTGCTGCTCGGCATGGTTAATAACATATTTGACATGGACACGGTGAGTGTTGAACAGGGCGAGCCACTGACGTTGTTGGTGGGCGACGAAGAAAAGGGACTGTCAGTGGTGCCAGAAGAGGTTGCCCTAAAGCCACCGCTCGGCGTTGTAGGTAATTGCACCGGCTCTGCAAAGGCAAGTTAAAAAAGAATATATATATTTAGTGCTTCTTGTTGCTAAATATACATAGGTATGCATATATAAGTACTTACTGCTGGCGGGTTTGGCCTTGCCGTAGCGTTTTAACGACTGGATGCTCTCAAAACCAAATTGTACATAACTTTCGGCCTGCTCGCGATTGGGAAACTCGCGCAGACGCGCCTCCTTATAATGGCGCAGCACGTCCAGCGCCTTGGCCTTTTCCTTGAATATCAACCAGAGCGGTGAGTCGGCTGCAAAGGATTGTGATAAATGAGCAAATGAGTGAGCAGCTTGGCAATTGTGTGCGAGCGAATAGGCCAGACACAACAGACTTGTCAGCAGTTGTCACTCGCTCGCTACTGGGCCGTCTGGTCACGCCATATGTGTGAATGGGGCGATGCCAGACAGCGCAAGAAAAGCGTTGAGCAAAACAAACAATATGCTAAAAGCCAAGAGAAACGACGAGGTCGCGTGCGGACAGCGGACAGCGGACGGCGGACACTGAACAGTGGGCGGAAAAAGAACATAGCCAACAGGAAAGGGGGAGAACACAACAGCAACAGGGGACGTGCGTATGACGCAGTTATTGGCACGCAATTTTTGTTCACTCGCTCGCTCTGTCCCTCTCTGAACTGGTGCTGGGCAAACGGATCGAGATGCTCAGAACAGCCGCCTAGGCTAGCCTGGTCGGTTTAAATATGGAAACAACGCCGCCGCCGCGTACTCTCTCTGCTCTGCCCATGCCGGCCAAGTCCGCAGCTCATACTTATTTTAAATAGATATTTAAATAAATATATACAAGTGTGCATGGTACATATGTGTATAGAATACAATAAATCAAAGCTGTTCTGTGGTAACACACTTTATGCATTATCAAAAAGAATCTAATACATATCCAGATACTTTACCAAAGCATATTGAGTATGTTAAAAACTTACGTGCGAGTCGGTTAGATATTTGTTTTGCTCATTCAGTTTCAACAACACTTTGTTTATATTAGCGTATATCACTTAATCTTTGACCGATTGTGTAAATTATTTCTTACTGACAAAAAAGAAAAGCTAGGAGGAAATATTTGTAGTTGGACTTGAAGACATTGTTCACATAAACAATTCCAATGTCTATAAATATATATTCAATTTTAACGGACAATTCTTGACAGAGGGAACAGAGCCAAGGGACTTTTTGGAGAAAATATTCAAAATCCATGCCGGAGAAGCATAGACGAACATGGCTCTATGGACTTGGCCTTTCATAGGCCGATCCTTAAATGTGCATTGCCCATTCGGGGCCAACAACATGCTGTACATACCCTGCAGTTGATTGACAACTTGTAACGTGCATTGGTTGACTTTTTTTCCAAAACGGATTCTATTTTGTATAGTTTGTTTTGTTTATTTATGCAATTTGTTTCTATTTTGCGAACAGCAAAGCGCATTTTAATTAGATTACGTTATGCCAGAGGTGCAGCAAAACCCATCCAATTCACGGCTGTAATCGTACGTTACCCGTTTTTGTTTAGAGCTCGTGCATCGATGACGCTACTAACCCCACGCCCACTGCCCGGTGCCCATCGTGGCCGCAGAATTGATGCGATGGCGATGATGCAGGTGGCATTCAACACTCGATTGCCGACATGAAATTGGATTTAGCCTTGTTTCTAATATGAATTTATGTAAGAGTCTGATCAATTTGATAGCTAACATTCATGTTATCACCTATGATTTCATGGCCTACGGCGCAGGAGCAAAATGGAGCAGTAGCCCCCTTGATACGCCGACGATTTAATGCCCTTGTAAACACATATCTAGAATATGGTACTTTATATAGACAAAATCATTACGACTTAATAAGCTTCTGCAATTGTGTTGAGAGGAACGTGAGGCTCGAGTGAAACTGTGAGAGTGAAGATGGCTCAAGATTTCTTGAAAATCAAACGATTTTCTCACTCAAAAACTCATTTTTAATAAAAATACAAAATCTTTTAACTTAAGATCTATATGGAACCGGCTGTTTATACAGATCAAGATAAATACAGTATGTACATATATGCTCTATGGGGTCAATTACCTCTCTGCTATGCATTGCACATTTCGTGACAAATAATAATACTCTTTACATGGGTATAAAATCAACAAGTCGAAGCAATTGTTTTTGGCCTGGCAACTTTTTAATACCCTTTCAGATTATCCAAAAAGTAGCTATTATCAAAGCTCTGCACTTATAATAACAATTAACGTTTCATAAACAAGTTTTTCATGCCCCACAAACGATAAGAGAGCAACAAGTAGGCGAATTATTTTTGGATTGCCGAAAATTGAGCTTGTTTGAGTGCAATGCAATGTGGGCGGAACTTGTAAAAATGCAAATGAATGAAGTCTAATATTGATGTTAATTTTAATAAACAATGTGCTTTATTTAAGATTCATTAAGCTAAAGATATTTACGACTTGCAATAAATATTCAAATGGATTCTCTCTCAACTCAGCTCGTCTTCTTCAATGGGTTACATATTTCTTGACAATTTGAGATAGTGTATAGTGTGTAAGTGTATGGCAAACGGTAACTGCGATGCGCAACAAATGGCACTTCCTTGAAAAACGCGCGCTTTGATTACGTTATGGCATGAAACAACAAGCATGTGTTGAGTTTGTTGTTTCATGCCATAACAAAATCAAAGCGCGCCTTTTTCAAGGAAGCGTACATGCATGCGTGTATGTGTGTGCGTGTGCACACATTTGCAGGGCATGCTTGTATATCATGTATGTATGTACGCATGTACGTACGTATTGCGTTGTACAAATATGGCGACGCCTCCACTCACTCGCTACTTACGTGGATATTCGGGATCCTCATATGTGGATGCTTCCTCCGCCGCGCTGGCCGGATATTCTGGCGAAATCTTTATATTGTCTGCCGCTATGGAGCCCGCACATTGGGCCAAAGTGCCCTCAAAGCCTGCCTTAGAGGGCGGTATATAGACGCCAAAGTAAGCCATGGATGCAGGAATACTAGCAAAACACACAAAAAAAACAGGAAGTTCTTAAATTGAATACACTGCATTGCATATGTACATATGTATGTGGCTGTGCAAAACTCTGCGAATCGCAAACAAAATGACGTCGAACGCGCGACGGACCACGACGCCAATGGAGTTTTAGTGCTAGCACTGGCGTCTCACCTTTAACGAAACACTACGGGATGCTCCTGACCTAATTTCACATTTAATTTTTAGTTTTTATTTTATTTGTTTCACTATACACAGGGAATTTACATATAACTGCAGCGAATGAATGTGCTTGTGTTTGCGTTCGAAATGCGATGCAGTGTCGTGTAGAGATGGCAAAAGGAAACGATATCAAAATGTCGTATGCATGGTCAACGATGTAATCGATAAGAAAACAGATATTTTCCCAAGAGTGTGTTTCGATATATTAATAACCTAAAATAAATAATTCATCGATTACAATGCTGCACAACATTTTATAGGCGCGCCGCCAATGCGTTATCGGCCATTTTTAAATTCTATTGTTCAAATACTTACGCATAAATATTCGAATCCGATTATCTTACCGATATACATATAAGATTGTATGATTATTAAATTTTATTATTTCCAACGGATTGTCTACATTTAAAAGAAAAAATTTGTATTGTTTGTAATAGTGCGTAGAGTAAGAACTTAACAAAGTTAGGTACAGCTGCTTCAATGTTTGCAATTTTTAGCCAATAAGCCGTTGGCAACAGTTGTTTGAAATGTTCGTTATATATATTTACCATATTAACGTTTAATAATGGGCATATTAGTTTAAGCTCGTGTCTTAACAAATTCGACGAGCAAAATTCGACAAAAAGTCTAGTGGCAGTAAACAGTCAATATTGTGTTAGAATCTTTAGTGGTATTGTTTAATTTATTTTGTAATACAATAATTTCATATAAAGTTGCACTATATGCTAAACTGGAAGGAATGATTGCGTTTAATTGTTGGACAGACACAAATCTAATCATTGTATAAATATTAAATATTAATCACGAAAAAACGAACGAACGAAACGAAATTATCTGAAAAAATACTCAACAACATTAAATATATAATTGCATAAATAGTAAAACATAAATATAAGTTAAGTTGCTACAAAAACGAGTCACATAGAGAAATTCAAATAAAACTGAGTTCAAGAGAATGGAATATATGAAAAGCTGCACACATCAATTCGGATACACCTATATATGTACGTATGTAGTTCTGTTGAAGAAGTTTTGTAGAACTGAAACATGCTGAACATTTAAATCTAGCAAATAAATTTGCGACCTTAAAATAGACTAAACATAATTTTGGTAGTTGGCTTAAACTAGTTGCTCGCTTGGTTGCATACAAGCCCTTTGAGCTGCACGAATGCCTATCAATTAGTAAATACATACAACTGGCCCCACTGAGGGGCCCCCCACTTAAATGCTAAACTGCGCACTCTGGCGCCTACTTAATAATTATGATGTGTTTGTTTGTTGTTTCTGTGTGTGTTGTCTGTTGGGCTGGGCAAAATGTTAGTTGTTGTGGGAGGGGGTGTGCTAGTCAATATAGTATATGGAAGGAATACTGAACATATGGTTAAATAACAGGGGGTTAGTTGGAATGCATCCGCAACAGACGTCAGAAATTAAAGCTTTGTATGTTTGACAGTGTCCGTCCAATAGTTCTGTATTGTCATCGCTTCCAGTGAGTTGAGAAACGAGTCATTGTCCAGGCTATACATCTCATCCGAGTTATCCTATAACCAAAAAAATAAAAATAAAAACAATATTAATACAGCTAATTAATGCGGTTGTGCCCACAGTCAACTGGCCAACGAATCCTTACACTTACACGCATCGTGCTATCGTCAATGTAAACGCTCGAGTCGGGCTCGCTTAGCGCCTGCGGCTTATTCAGATACCGCCGTCGATACAGCACAATGCCAATGGTGCCCACAGTACAGCATATACCAAAGACCGTAAAGCATATGGCTGAGATGGCGCCGGCATCCAGAAAATAGGTGCGCTATAATCAAAAACCATTAGATATTTGTAAATATATAATGAAATATTTCAGAAGCGCTGCTCACTTGAATGGCCAGCGCCTCGGAGGAAATGTTGCTCTCATCGGCTTCGTAGCCCGAAACACTGGGTGCTGCCGATGCGGAGCGTGTGAGCAGGCTCTTGGTGTCGCTGGAGAAATTGATATAGCGATTAATGTGCTTATATTCAGCGGATAGCACTTTCGATTTGCGTGAACGATGTTCGCTTTCCGCACGACGCAATTCATCCTCCTTGTTCGCATTTTCCAAGGTAAAGGGCACTCGCTGCAGCTCATCGGACAGCCATTCGGTGTTGATTTTTGGCGTTGAAGGCGTGGCGGGTACTTCTGCACCTGTGCTGTTCGTTGGCGGACTCATTGTTGTTGTTGTTGTTGTTGTTGTTGATGTCGTTGTAATTGTTGTTGTTGTTGCGGGAGTTGCTGTTGTAGTGTTCACTGCCTGGCTACTGGTCTTGGCGGCAGCTGCCAGGCACGTGGAATTGCATCCGCTGCTGCTGCTGTTGTTGTTGTTGTTGTTGTTGGTATTTGTACTGCAAGGTGTGCTCAATTAGTAAAAGTAATAGAAGAGTGAGTCATGTGAAACGCTTACCTTGTGCTACGACTAAAATTCGTATAGTTGTTCAGCTGCTCGGACGGTACAATGGCAGCTCCCGCAAAGTCCGCCGAGCGCTTAAACTCGAACTGATTGTGAGAGAGTGTTAGCTTTATAGTTGCCTCGTCATGCTCATTGTCATCATCAATGTCTTCATTCTCGTTGCCGTCGGCGTCATCGACAGCTACATCATCATCATCATCATCGATGGCATCAGAGAAAGGAGCTTCGACCTCATCGTCAACACTCTCCTGCTGGATAGCATCTGTATACGCGGCTGTTGTTCTTGACTCTGCCGTTGTCTTAATGGTCAAGTCCATGATATTCCGCTGCGTGACCGTCGCCCATGTTTGGCTGGACGTAGTCTGATACAGCTTCGTTGTTTGTCGACGGCCGTTAGTCTCATGGCCCCCTGATTCCGTCTGTTCCACTAGACGCTCCTCCTGCTGTGTCGTTGATTCTGGGCTAATCTCATGGCTGGGATATGTGTGCACATGCGTGATGGGCACCAGCAGCACTGCAAGAAGAAGAGTTTTAATGGGATAATATTCAAATTTAGCTCTCTCAATACTCACCACTTAGAGAGGTTATCCAGAACCAATGCGACCACCAGTAGAAAGTCATAATGCGGCACGTGATGTTCTGATCTCGGGCCGACTGTGCGGCGCTGTAACATAAAGAAAGGAAATGCCAATATGTGAGCTCATGTGTTGACAAGCGCGCGATCGCATTAAGTGTCGATTTAAGTACATCCCAAAGCACTCGTTGCTCATCCGCCGTGTGAGTCAGAAGCAGAGGAAACAACAAATACAACAACAACAATAAGCCAGAGAGTGAGGAGCGAATTACTTGTAGCAGCTACAATGAAGTCATCGAGTCATTGAACAGTCGTGGAAGCGCTTTACATTCTGCCTAAAACAAGTTTCACTGGGCACTTCAGAGTGCGGAACATGACCAGGCCAGATCTGGCCAGGCCGGGCATTGCCAATTTTGGGGCCACTTTGCGATGCGTCGAAGGTCGACGACTCGCGCTGGCAGATGACAAATAACCAAATGTCTGCTCTTCCCGTTCTAAATACAAGTATGTCGTGCCACCCATGCCCATGCCCACGCCCACGCCCACGCCCACGCCCACATTCACGCCCACGCTTAACGAGTTGTGAGCCCACAAATTGAAGTCACAAATAGCCGCCATTTGGACTCAATTGTTGTAGTTGCTTGTGCCCCAAAATTAGCATGCCATCTTTTGTTGTGCCAGAATCCAAACATCTTTCCATAAATTATTTTCGTTACGCTTTTTGGCTTCGATCAACTGTTTGCTTACTTAGTTGTATATACCCTGTAACCATGGTTTTCATGGCGGCAGGTTCGTACCCAAGTAAATAAGACAAAAATTTATTATTGCAAATATTTCAATTGTTTTACAGCGTTCGCTCGCAAATGTTCAGTTGTTCAGTTAGTTCGTTTTGTAATTTTTGGGAAACAATTTGATGCCTACGATTTTTCCGTTCTCAAATCAAATATAAAATTGGCCCTTGAACATATTTCACTTTTAATGAAATCATGAATATTTTTTTTATTTACTCGATTTTTCTTTTTTACTGATTTCTATATCCGATCTCAGTTTTATTTGCTTAGGCAAATACAGGGTATACAATAGTTGTATTCTGTTATAACGTAACATCAGTAAGCATTGGTATTTGTATTTTTTTTTCAATATAGGGCATTCCATAGTCTGGTCGACTCGTGTATTGCGTTCTAACTTAATATTTTGTGTGCTTGCGCTAAAAACTATGTGCGTAGTCCCATTTATTTTGGGGTTAGTTTCTACACAAACCAGGCCCGTTGAAAAATTGCTCTAATTTTGTGTCTGATAAGATAGTATAGAACTAATGTAACATAAACTTAAGCATGTGCGTGTGTGTAGGTGTGACTGTGTGTGTATTGATCTGTGACTGTGACCCACATCGCCCTTATTATTGGCCCGGGCCCAGTCGATGGCTCAGCCTTTGACGTCACAGGGCACGTGTCATGTTGCGGACTTGACATGTGTGTACTACTGTTTGGGCCACATTGCGATATGGCATATATTACGTATACGCAGCGCGGTACATTAAACATTAAGCATTACGGGCGACACTTTATGCATAGCACGAGGCGTTAAAGGTCAAACCGCTTTTAGCTGCTGTCATCAAATTCTACAGCAATTGAAACACAGTCGTAAAGAATAATAAAAACAATTGTTGCCCAAAAACTGTGAAGTATGTGTGTTTTTTGTGTGTCTATGCATAAGCAAACAAACAATAACAATACAAAGACCGCACACCGTAACGAATGACACCAAACGTGCACAGAGTTGGATGAGAAACACTGGCGGAAAGGTGAAGCCGCACCAGAAGCGCAAAAGCGGAACGCGCATGAGCAACGCCCCAAGAAAAACAAGCAGCTGGCACAGCAATAGAAGAAGGCCTTATGTAAATTCGATGCGTTTCTTTCCCCATCATCATCATCATGAGTCTAATTATACAAAAAACAGACGCGATGGCATCCGAGTTAGCTCAAGTTTCCCGTATTCTTCCGCTGTATGGGTCTCTGTAGACACAGAACGTAGACAGTACCGTCTACGAAATTATAAGCGCAATTTATAATGGTATCGCCCAAGCTAACTGATTTTACGTTCATTTTTATAAACATAACTAGCTGCTCCCAGCTAGTCCACTTTAAGTCCGTTCCACTTTTAGTCCTTAAAATAGTTTAATCTATTGAATAAATCTTTTAATTAAAATTAATCTATTAAATCTATTTTAAACTGCCCGTCTACATTTATATGAATGCAAAGCTTAGCGTGCACCTTCATCACATTGGGAAGCTAAAGTCAAAAATTGCAGCTTTCCAGCTCATACGGCTGTCAGTCCATCAGTCAGCCAATTAGTCAGTTAATCAATCAGTCAATCAATCAGTCAGCTAATCAATCAATCAGCCAATTAGTCAGTTAATAAATCAGTCAGTCAATCAATCAGTCAGTCAGTCAATCAATCAGCCAATCAGTCGGTCAGTCTGTCAATCAATCAGTCTTGTCTGCAAGCTCAACAATCAAGCCAGTTAGGTTAGTATACATATAATATATTATATATAATAAAATATTTTATACATATAGTATGTTATTTCTCCTTCATGTAGCTGTTGATATCTCTGGCCCAATAAATTGGTACACAATTATTATCAGACCATTATTATTATTGCGTCAACGTGGCTGTAATCGCCTCGTGGTATATTGACTCTCAAACAAAATATGAAATTGATAAAAATCGATTTGCAACTTCCCAACCTTTTTAGGTAAAACAATTCTAGTATGTATACAAAGTTTAGCTACAGTTTCTATTTCTGGATGTCATTAAGGCCACGTTATAAGAGTTATCCATTGTAGTAATTACTGTTATTACATACATAGGATATAGTTACAATAGAATAGAAAAAGCCGCTGGCCTATTTGGGACGCTGTCAAGCAGCCTAGGCTGACCCATGGAAAATTTATCTAAGGCTGAGAGCACTATCTATATGTCTAGCAGATTATTAGAATTATAATAATTATAATTATATCCCGGCCTTAAGAAGTTAAAGCGGCGCTTAAGAGAACTAATGTCAAGAACATTATTCGAGCTATTTATTTTGGCTTATAAAAGATTTTTTAATCCCGAAGGGGGTGATATATCGCGTTCCTCTCTTGCTGAGATTTGCGTCTGTAGCGTGCAGGAAATTTACATAAAAGTTTCTTGATCCTCTTCAAAGTAGTTGCATTGAGTCGACCTTCGATAGCTTCAGTTTCTACAGGTTATATCTTAGGGTACATTTTCCGATGAGAATGCCTGTTAGGAAGCACACATCCTCTATTTGGTATATCAAGAATATATATATATATATATATATATATATATATATATATATATATTCTTGATATACCAAATAGACGATATATATATATATATCAAGAATATAAAAGCGGACCAATTGCTGCATAAATTACCAATTCTTATCAGAATATTAAGATGGATCGAACTAGCCCTGCTTTGTTTCAGATACAAATTAAGTTAAGAGTCTTAATAATATACATTTTAATTTCAAGTTCAACAAGAGAAAAAAAAACGCTTAAAACATATTGAAATAAATAATTCATAGCAAGTCAGCTGCAAATATGAATAATGCTATTGAATGCAATTACGCAAAGCTGACCAATTGTTAACATAGTTGTGTGTGTGTGTGTGTGTGTGTGTGTGTGTGTGTGTGTGTGTGTGTGTGTGTGTGTGTGCGTGACGCGGCCTATTATAGGGCCTAATGAGAGACTACTGACACCTAAGATTGAACTCAAGGCTGAGCACAGGTCAGTCCGCGCAGCTACGTTCAGTGGAAGCCATTTCGAAATCGCATTGCGGCGCTGAGGGGGCGCTTTGGGGGCTGGTCTTAAGCAAAAAGCAAAAGCGAAATAGCTGAAACAGATGCACTTTCATATGCGAAAGCAAAGTACAGCTCAAAACTGGCACAAGTGCAGCTCAGTCCGGGTGTGTGTGTGTGTGTGTTTGTGTGTGTCTGGAACTGCAATTAAGAAAAGGGGCGAAAAAATAAAAAACAAGTGCAACCTTCAAGAAACAACAATGCAAATTGAAAAGGCGGCTGGCCAAATGGCAACAATTAAATGCTGCTTGGTATACATATTATGCAAATGCCAAAACAAGACATTGTGCGATGGGCGTGGCACAGCACACACACACATACACATGGCGAACACAAACAGACACACTGGCACACCAATAGTGCAATGTCGTGTCTGCCAGCCACAACAAACAATGGGAAAGTTCACGCTCACTTTCTAATGTCAGCAGCGCGGCACGCGATGTCACTGCCTGCAAGAGATTTGCGTTGCCGCAGGAGGGGCGCCAAACTACTTACCTGAGCGGTGCAAGCCAAAAGGTGCGAGTTGTGTGAGTAGGTACATGTATGTAGTACCATGGCACTTGCGACTCTAGGGCACAAGCCAGGGGACAAGGGCGTGATAGGGTGCTCTGGTTGGTTTTGGCTTTATTTCAATTCGAATTGTTTTATTATGTGCTGGAAGCCGAACCGTACCCTCTGATCCTTGCCAAGGGACAGACTATGAACGTAGGATATAGTCACGCAGCTATAGTTATGCTATGCAGCTTTTATGGTATTGACAATGAAGGGTACTTATAGGGATGGGGTATTGCTCATAAAGAGTATCAACGACACAGTCTTCCACTGTAGGTAGCTTAAATGCTACGCTTCGTTCGTGGGTGACAGGGTGAGAGTTATCCTTTGGAGACGCCTCACTGTAATGGGGTCAGTCAAGAGCATGCTGAAGAAATTGATCTGATCTCTGAGCTTTGTAAGGCGGAGATCGCGTTCTGCTTTGGATATATAACCCGTATCCAGTGCCGAGATGCTGTCACAAGCATTCGAATTATATTCTGTACAAATACACACATAGCCCCATTCTGCTGTGCTTCTTCTAAACTCCCGAATAACTGCATGACAGTCCGGTCTTTGATAAATACATATTTAACGTAGGGCTGCAACTTTCATTTTGGGAGAATCGGCAGACTGACGGATAAGACTTCCTTTTGTCTGCCTCTAACATTTGGAGTGCATACATATATACAGCATAGTATATTGAATATATGTATAAACACGTCTAACAACTCTTAATTCAACTATTTCGAAAATAATCCAAATGTTAGCCAAATTACAATACAATTCTTGATGTTGAGTTTTTGAAATATGTTGAAAAGGAAAATAAATGAAATGAATAAATTCAATGGCAGCTATTTTGTGTTAGAGTCGAGCGTCCAACTCGCCAACTCGTCAACTAGTCGTGCCAAATTTGTGTAATTTCTACACACTATTAAAGGTAAATAGGGTATGCGATAGTCGTAAGCATTTATGGTCACATGCCTGCTGGTCGAAGCAGGCTGCGACGAGTGTCCAGTTTAGGCTGAGGCACATATTATATTGTATAAATTAATATATATTCAACAACAACAGACACAAGTAAACACGTGTAACTGACAATTCACAAAAATCTAAAAACTTTTTTTATTGGCTTTCGTGGTATTTGTCGCTGCAGTAGAAAGAAGGTAAATTTTTTGATGGAACTTGTTCAACAGTCAACGGCGCCGGGCGCTTCGAGCAGCGGCGGCGGCGGCGGCGGCGGCGGCAAAAACGAGAAGAATTCACAATACCGCCAATTGCGCCAGCTTATAATCAAGCTATCGATGGGCGATCAGATTGTGCTCTATCGGAGCCATCAGGAGGTGCAGCAGGTCTGCGATAGCATCTGGCGGAGCACACATAAACGCTTGGACTTTCGACAGCTGGAGCAGGAGTTAAGCGGCGAACCATTGGGATATTTTCTAAACAATATGATGGATCATTTTCGTTATGTGTATTTCACAGCGGATCGCCTCCAGGAGAACCTAAATGTGCTGGAGCGTGCCGGCATCAAATCACTCAACAATGTACAGCACTGTGAGCTGCTCTTGTCCCAGGACCCGGTGCCAAAGCAGAAGACGAAGCGGCAACGTGAGGCGGGCGCTGGCGATGCTGGACTTGGCCGGGTTGTTGGCATTGCTGCAGTTCTTGGCGGCTCAATGATGCCCCAATGGCCGTTGCATGCCTTGCCCAAAATGCTGCGCAATTTGCGCCGCCTCAAGGTGCACTGCGAGGTGCAGGTACATTTTATCGAACAGTTTCCACAGCTCGAGCTACTGGTGCTAAATGGTGATGTTGCGCAATCGGCCCTCACGGGCATTTTAGAGCGCTGCAAACAGCTGAAACGGCTGTTCATCAAATGCAAGAAGGCGCCACCGAATCTGCACGGCATCTCCACCTGCCATCGTTTACAGGATATCTCGTTGCCGATGACACTATTCTTGCAGGCACGCGATCAGGTCTTGGCGCTGCCGGCATTGCATTTGCTGGAGCTAACAGTTGGCGGTCAGAAGCCGGAAATGGCCATCGAGTGTTTGCGCTATGTGCTGGAGTTAAAGGCAAACATCATTGAGATTGTGCAAATGAACTGCGCCTGCTTTGAGGGACCATATTGGATGCGTGAGGCGGGTCTCGGTCTTTGCGGCCGGCTGCAGGGCCTGGTGTTGAACAACTGTTATTTTCACGATCGCGAGATAACTGAACTGAACATGCCACGAGTAGAGAACTATTTGGTATTGAGCGGCTGTCCGGATCTCAAGGAATATCAGCTGTTAGATATGATCAAGAAATGCCCGACCCTTTCGGAGCTCTATTTAATCGACTGTCCGCTGCTCACTGGCAAAGTGCTGCATGGCATCTATCGTATACGATGCAGCGAGAAACTCGATTATCCCATCAGCATTATCCTTAGCCGCTGCGATACCATAAGCAAAGATTATCAGGACACGGTCGGTACTGAACATGCTAATAATTTACCAATAATACATATTTTAATACCCTAATAGAGGATTCACGGGTCGAGTCCATATAGTCATGTCCGTCTTTCTGTATCTATAGAAAGCAGTATCTCAGCTTCTATTATCACAAAATGTCGTAATTGACCGGATCGAACCACTATATCATAGAACTGTCATAGGAATTGTGAGTGAAAAGATATCTAGATTATGAGCACCGTGAGCATGATTTCTCCATGATTTCTCTATGAAGAGAAAAATCGTTTGAAAAACTAGATAAACTTTAAAAAGTTTGTCAGGTATTCAAGATATCTTTCTGGATATCTTGAATATAGGATTAATATATCGCATATATCTATCTATAAGGGTATTAAATCTCTCCTGTTATTTCATAAGGCTTATTTCTTTTTCTTTTTTTTTTTTCGTTTTCAGTATGCAGATTATTGGTATTTTAAGCTTCCAGTTCTTAAGCTGGATCGCTTGCTAGAGGAGAATCGACCAATCGAAGATATGCAGTTATTCTTTTACAAGAGCATCAGTACTGAATGAATTACTTTATTTATTTACTATTTGCATGGCATAACGCCCCCCGATTAGAGATTATATGTTCCGCAAAAATATTCAAAAGTCAACAAAAAAATATATACATATATGCTTAGTGCGTCTTTATTGAAGGTAGCGCATCCTTCATAGAGTCCTCACGGATAATCGGGCTACGGTTTATTGTCCACAATTATTTCTGTTAATAATTTCTGACAATAGTCATCTCCCTTCATTGAAATGTGCAGATTTTCTGTTTAAATAAAGTAGTATACAAAAACACAATGTCGTATGTTATTCGCAGACTCGCAACCCAGAACAATGTGCCCGGTGGTATCGGCTCAACCAATTAGCGGCTCTCCCAACGAAAGCAAACAAATTCCACATCAATGCCAAGTAATTGTTTTTTAGAGTATCTTGTGTTAGCATTCGGTTCGCGTGTCTTCGCCACCAAGATGAACAATAACAATTAACTCGTTTTATTATTTTGCGCACAACTTGTTTTTCGCATTTCCCAGACAGATTTCTATATTTGTGGTGTGAGCGGAACTGCGGGTGTGTTGTCTGTAGCTGCAGGCGGCAAATGTGGCTATGTGATTTGACATTTCACTTTACTTAACAAACAACTCGACTTAACTGCATGCAAATCGGAAAGTTTTGGGCCACAGAACACAGCGAAATTGATGTCGCCGGATTTCACTTAACAGCGCTGAACAAAATGGCCGTACGTAACGGAAAACACTGGCAAGGATTACAGTGCCTGCAACTCAATGCTGCATCTGGCCATATCCAAATGGGGTTTCTCTTATGAACTTGCCAAAACAGTGCGATTTTAAATACTTATAAAATTAACGCCAATTATTCCCATGCAAACTTCAGCATAAGCTGCTAAACAAAAGAATGCTTTAGTTAAAAGTTTCCGATAACCAGATACCATGTACTTAGTTTTGAGCTGCCTTATGAAAGATTCCAACATCTTCCCGAGACGAAAGCATTCGTAAATAACAGCAAACACTTATGCGCCGGAAAATCATTGCCGTGATGGGCAAAAGAGAACAAATAAAGAAAGGTAATGTTCCGGATCTCTATATCCAACTCTTCTAATCTCCAATATTATGCAATATCATCCAATATGATACGAACCAAGCAATTTATCACAATCGATATTCATCAATATTATGAAAATGAAAGAATATATCCAAAAAAATTAATTAAAATATGTGTATTTTATGCCTCTTGCACGTAAGGTTTTCGAATGGACGAATATGGCGAGATGGACTTAGCTTGTCGCCCTGATCAAGAAGAATATATACGATATATTGTAAATTCTCTTACAAAACAATTATACAATTTTCCTCAATTTGCTAGTTTTCTTTGTAGTTGTTGTAGTTGTTACAAGCGTAATTGGACTGAGATTGGTTAAGATATGAGAGACATAAATTGCGCATGCAAGAATTGTATTTTCGACCAATATTTCCATTGTCGTCCCCCCTGGCAACGGCAATACTTGGCTTTCTTTGAGCGATTTTTTGTATTGCCAGGTATTCGTCAGCATTTGTGCCAGAAATTCGTTTTGTCTGTCTGCGCGTTGTGTTCGTAATATTTGGTAACATTAGAAAACGAAATTTTGCGCCAAACAAATGATACTGACAATAGATTTGCGAGCTGTAGTTTTTGTTTGGTACGTACTTCTTTCACTTTTTTATATGCTTTGTGTTGGCACTTTTCTTTATTATTCGCGAAAGTGAAATTATTTGGTTATATCTGAAAATGTTTTTCAATTAAAGGAACAAAATATGACTGCGACAGGTGACTGCAATAATTAAGCAATTAATGTTGAATCGTGGTTCATTTCCCGTGTTTGTTTAAAGCACCTTTTATATAGATGCTCCACAAATTACGGGAGATACTTTATTCGAGTACCGACTTTTATTTTAATTAATTGACTAATTTTGTGTTAATTTATGTGTTTTGTTAATATTTATCTCAGAATTTATTCATTTCATTTGTGTTCATTTCATCGATTTAGAAGAATTTCTTTTTGATCTATATTTTCTCATTAATATATCTTTTTGCCGGAGCCAAATATTTTCTATTTTATGTTCATTTGCAACTCGTTCGTTTTGTATGGGGCTCATTTTGGTGCTGATCTATATATATTCAATAATATATTGTGTGATCTGCCAAATCTGTTAGATTTTTAAATATTCTACTTTTATTATATGTTCATTTTTGTGATAAATTTACAACCGATGTTCCTTTTGTAAAGAGTAAATGTAAATGTTGGTCCTTATTTTATTATTTTTAATATATTTATTTAATGAAGGTGGATTTTGTCATATCTCTTTAATGGAGCTAATTGTTTTTATTTTTTTCAATTATTTTTTTCAAAATATATTTAATATTTAGTGTTTCTTTTTAGAATTATTTGCAGCTGGAGCTCGTTTTGTTAAGTGTTCATGTTGGTCCTTATTTTATTGGTAATATTGTAGATAATTATTATTTTTTATTATTAGTTTTAATTTTTTTAAATTCGTTCTTTTTATTGGATGTTCTTTTGGTTTCAGTTGCATTTGGATACCAGGCTTATTGCAATTCTTTCTTTGATGACGATCTGTCAATTCTTATAAAGGCTGTTGTCGATGTTCATATGACATTAACATTATCCCTAGAGTTCACTTGTTTCTAATGGCTGTTGGCCCTTCTTCAGTTTATTCCACTCGGAAAACACCATCGGCTGATAATTTCCATTTTGATCAAGTGCCATTATTGTTGAACCGACATCGATGTAGTTGTTAGCTTTTGCTTGTTTTATCGGGTTGCGCTTTTTGCGCACTGTCTGCCCACGGGGCACCTCGACAATATACGGCGGAGCGCATGGCATCGACATGGGCACAGACTTGGGGCTGCCGAAAAGTGGCGGATCAATGTAGTGAAATCTCATGGTGCCATAAGGCAGCGGTATGGGGGCTGGCACGAGACGAAGCCCGGCATTATGTAGCTTTTCGTGCTCCTCATACAAATCCTCCACGATGGGCAGCAGAGCATCGGCCAGCGGCACATTTTCCTGCATGATGGCCGCCTGCAGGCGCAGCTGCTGATGTGTGGTTAGCATATACGTTGGCGATATTTCCGCATCCATGACCAATCTGCCCGGCTCCTGGGACTGGCCCTCATCGACTTCTAGCTGCATCAAGCTGTAGCTCTGAAAGGCCACATTCAATGAGCTGCGCTTCAAGGGTGCAGCCCGAGCACAGCTCAACGGAACCACCTCGATGCTATCCATGTTGTTTGGGTTAACGTTGTTGTTGTTGTCCTTGGGTATGACCTGAATGGTTGTGCTGGGCCCCATGCCGGGAGCGGGTAGATGATGCTCAGGAAATCTAAAGAAGTCCATGGCATTCATCAGGGACGGCATGTCTGGAGTACTATTTCTGATATTGGGCAACACGCCTGCCGGCAATTCCATGGTCACGTGCGTGACTCCCGGTATGGCACGCACATCGACCAGTTCCCTGGGCTGTGGCACGGTTAGGCCAGTGTACATCATCTCAATGGTGGTGCCGTGCTTATGGACACGATTGCTGAGCGCGTACCACTGATTTGCGGCGCCCGGCAATGGTCCTTTCTTGGGAGCATAGGAGCACAAATGATAAAATGAATATCGTTTGTAACTGCTATTTCCACTGGCTGCTTACCTGACGCCGTTTCTTGGTTTCATTTTTAATATTTTGTTGTTGTTGCTGTTGTTGTTGTTGTGGCTGTGGTTGACTCTGGTCCTGGCGACGTGGCTGCTGTTGCGGTTGCTTGCATTTTGACAGCGGCACCGAATTGTTTCTGATTTGCTTTTGGTTGCGACTCCATAGAACTTCGGGCACCTCAACGATTGGCGGCAGAGACGGCACTGCCACATTTCTTACAGTATTTCCATTGTTATTCTGCTTTCTCTGCTGCAGATTCATATTCAGAGCTGATGGACGAGTGTGCTCGTTGTTCTGGCTCCTATTAGCTCCACTCGGGCTGGCTGGCTTCTTGCCACTGCGAATCTTGCCGGCGGTTAACATGCTAGCTCCGCTTCTTTTTTTCTTCTCACTTTTACAAAATAGCTTAATTTATTTGCCTTGAAGTTTTGAACAGTTTGAGCTGTCAACACGAAATGAGCGCACAGAGGCTCATATTTGACAGCTCATTCCAATGGCAAAGCCTACTCCAATTAATGGCATGCATGACGAATTAACAGCTCCAAAACTAAGTTAACAGAGGACATTGCCCAATCATTGAATCGCTTAAACCTGTGTCCATTTCAGGCAACACTTCCCACAATTAACTGCGTCTAGTAGAAACGCACTTTTAGCTAGCGAAGTTTCTTTGTAAACTTTATACCCAATCCATATACATAAGCTATATAATATATACCCATACATCTTATAAAAAGGATCAAACGAAGCTTTTATAGCAAGGAAAAGCATATTCTATTTCAACTTTACCATTAATAAGCAGTAGAAATATTTATGTTTATGTGTTCGTGTACAGCTTAGACCTGATTTAAGGGCATTTTCTAGTCGTTCAGACTGCTGAACGAGTTGTTGATTTGTTTTGGAAGTTGTGAGAATTTTCATTTTTCATACTTTTATGCAATTGCAGTCGTCGCCGTTTTTTTTTTGCATTGCCTGCAACTGACTGCGGCTGGCAACAATGGCAAAGGTCTGAATGGGCGTCGACTCATTTCGCAATTGAACTTATGGGTATTCAGCGTTGGCTTTTCCTACTGTTATTGTTAGGGGCATAATTGTGGGTCTGACTATTGTGTTGCGTTTGAGGATTTGCAACTGGCGGATGTGCCACAGCCCCAAAGAAACTCGTATCATGTTTATGTACTCACAGATTCGCTCCTGCGTTGCCACCGGCCGGAACTATAGATGTTGTGCTGCCTTTGCTTTTTTTAGATGCTGCAAATTGGGCTTCCGGCTTCCGTTTTCACAACTGAAAGGACACAGAAAGATGTTTGCTTAACTCAAAATATATATAAACAATGTTTGGGTTATGAAACGATTTAGATCTTTCCCTCGATATCGACTTGGACACACTCGGCTAAGCCGGCACTCGAGTGGAGCAGCACGGCATGGTGTTTAAGACTCAGCCGCGACTCCAAATAGAATAATTAAGTGTATTATTTTTGCTACTTTTTAGGTAATTCTGAACTAGTGCGTGGCGTACTTGGCCAGCTTAGGCTTATCATTGCCAACGCTCATTGTTTAAGATGTTCAACTTGAACAATTAAAAAAAAAAACTCTGCCTCTGACTGCAGTGCACATAACGCATAACGTTCGTCGTATGCTTAATTATGCATACGCAGCATTGGCTGGCAGTCTACAAAATTATACCCTACAGCATTTAAAAAGATGGGATGTTCATACTAATGGGCAATGGACGCAACTATAAGAGAGTTAACCAATTAAAATGAACTCAAAGCGCGTAATAAAATGATGTAACGGCCAGAAGAGATATCTTCGACTTCATAATATATAGGTTAATATAATTAAATATTTAATGAAAACTTACAATCGAAGCTCTTTATGGGATATAGGTATGGACACAGAGCTACAAAGCGGTTTAGAGCCGAACCGATTCGAGCCCGGAACTAAACCTCTTTTATAACATGAATCAAACCCTGAACCAAACTTATCTAAACCAAAAATTGAACCAAGTAATTGTCAAAATAATATAAAACGTTTCAGAAATGCCCAGACCTAGTCCATAAATATCTTGAGATTTCTGAGCACGCATTTAATAGATGCCATTTTTATATAGAGATCAGATTTAATTTTTTTTTCTTTTTGAAAATATTGAGAGTATATGAACACACTAAGGTGCACGAACTGAACCCAAATGCAAACCTTGTCAAAAATGTTGTTCCTTACGAGTCTCAAATGCTAACTAACATTTCGTTCAAATCTTAAAATCAAATTATATTTAGCCTCCACAGAAACAATCGCTATGAAGTAGATCTTCGTCAATTGTATTGAACAATGAATGATTTCTTCCTAACTTAAATTGCCGACCATCTTCGTCTCTCTGAGCTTACTTTCATCAGTAATCCAGTAATCAATAATCCACTTAGGCTGTAGCCTAAGCTGCTGCTGGTATTATTTTTAGTGTATCTGGTCGATTGTTTTTGCCATCTGATTGCCAAAGCAGTAGATCAATGAAATTGCATCAGCTGCCAGGTGCTAATACGGCATATGCATATTCGTGCAATTTAAATACAAACGTTTAACTGGTTTACTTTTATGGACCCGAGCTAATTTACATGCCAAGCTGTCGATTGTGGCGTTTAAGCTGATGCTGGAAGCTAAAATTAGGCGGTAATTGGGCGGATGCATCAATGGAGAGTCAAAATCTAAAACGCAATTCAAAAATGGGTTGGGCAATAACGTTGCGGTGAGAACTCGCTGGCCGCGCCCAAAAAAAAAATAAAAATAAATAAAACTGACTGAAATTGTGTATATGTGTGCGTATGTTTAAATGTATTTAAACAAATCTTATTTACCTATATGGCAAAAGTCGAATGACTTTTTTGGGCAGCTCAAATCGTTGGGAAAGTAAACATGCACCGTGACAACCACAACGGCTCAAGTTGACCAATTTTGGTGGCGCTTCTCACTAACAGCGCCACAACATGCAAAACTAAATGCCGCACAGTGATGGGCAGAAGTCTAGGTACAGTTTTTATAAGAGCCAATGTGTGGGAAATGGGAACGCTTCGTTTGTGGTCTAAATAGAAAGAGTTTTCTTTCATAGAAGAACTTCAAGGTAACATATTGAAAAGTTCTTAACTAACTAACAATTAATTCAGATGAATCACTATAAATGATTAAAATTCATTGAAAATTATTAATAAACTGTCCGGCAACAGATTTCTGTCCAACACTGTAGTTGGCTGAGACGCTCATACAGATGAGTGTGCGTGTGTGTGAGTGTGTATGCGGGTGTGCGAGTGTGTTAGTGTGGTGCGTGCTTAGAATTAAAAGTCAGTCTACACCCGCAACGTCAGCGTCGACATTCAACGAGGTCGCCTAATTGACGGCAGTTGATTAAACCGACTAACTGACACACTTTTCCAACGGAATTGATAAGCCCAGCAGGTAAGCTACATATATGTATATCAGGGCAAATCGGGGAATTGTGTTAGGCATCGAAAGCATTTGCACATTTGCAGCACGTTCAACGGCCTGCAGCGAGCACTTTGTGGCTACTTAGAGAAACGGCAAACGCCCGAACATCAGTCAAGTTGATTGCGGCGACTGGCAAATGGAGTCATTAAGCGTCTCGAATGTCATTACCACTTAATTGTTTTGTATCGTTCGTTGTTGGCAAATGATTTGCAGAGTTTGCGTTCGTTCAACTTCCAGCAACAACAACGGCCCGAACATCATTTTCAGTTGGCTGTTTACATTTTGCAGGCCACACGCTAATGAAGCCTGCGCATCCGAATTGCAAATATCCGAACAGGCAAATTCCAAGACAAAGTGCCAACACGAAATGAAGAAAAGCTTTAAACTGAAAATGTTCAACTAAGCATGTGCAAATGATAATGATGATGATGCTGATGCTGATGATGACCGAAGAGCATTTGGATTTGAATTTGGAATTGGACAACGACAACGACTTCCACATTTTGCTAATCACATTTGCCAAATAATTTTAATAACGCTAATTAAGTGCTTAAGAGCTAAAGCTCAGGCACAGGCAATCCCGTAAATGGACATACAGCAGCAAGTTATGCAATTTGCTTATTATTGCATTTGCAATTCAACAACTCACAGCACGCCCCAGCCTGAACGAGCGCTGGCCAGAACATTGCAGTCGAGTGTGAACGACTATCAAATACCCAGACCTTGTATGCAACAATTTGTGTTTGTGTTGTCCGAAGGGAAGCTGAATTGTGCTTGGAAAAGTGTTATACAACACTGTGTGCTATCATTACTATGTATATTAAAACGGAAATAACAATAAGTGTTTTTTCCATCTAGGTAATTGTCATTTCTGGTGTTGGGAAAGTTTCGAAATTATTTGCAAAATGCTTAAATTGCTAGTGAATTCAATTTGCAGACGTATTGTTCAACACTGTGTCCTGTCTGTACTATCGAAAAGTGTTTTGCAGCATTTTAAATTAAAATAGAAATGTTATCAAGTTTAATTTTCTGTGCAATTGTCATATCTGTTGTACGGAAAGTTAAGGAAATGTCAAAATTATCTGTCTGAATTGTTAGCGAATTCAATTTACAAAAGCGTTGTACAACACCGTGCGCTGATATATTAATGTGATTTGCAACACTTCAAATTTAAACAGAAATGTCATTAAATCTTTTTTTTTTTTTTTTTTGGAGTGATGTAAAGAAAGTTTCGGAAATGTCAAAATTATCTGCGTCATGTCTTAATTGTTTGCGAATTCAATTCACAAAAGCTGTGTACAACAAAGTGTGCTCTCTCTACTAAAGACTATTGTATGTAAATGTGTTTTGCAACACTCAAACTCAAAACGGAAATGAAATCAAGTTAATTTCTTAAAGAATGGCTATTTCTTGTGTCTCGAATATGTCAAAACTTTCTGCGTAATGTCAAAAAGTTTGCGAACTTCCGCTACAACAATTTAAATCTTTTCGTGCACTTCAATTTAAGCAGAGCTGTGTGCACGCAGATCTTGTTTGTGAAATTTCCGAATTAATGCCTAATGATGTTTGCTTCTAAATATATTGAAATCGTAGAATTTGTTAATATGAAAACATCTTAAGCTAGGTTGAAACTCTATAAATATTACAAATCATGGCTAGTCCTATTTTTCAAGGCCGCATGCTAGAATATTATGGCAAAAAGAAATACAAGTGTATCTGATATGCATGCTTACAGACTGGGTGTGTTCTTATATAGTGTTGCTTACTTTTACCGCCACGCAGTGTATAGTTCGGCTGTCGTTATTACATGACCTGTCGCTCAGATTGCGCATACATCACGTAGAGCTACAGAACAAAGCCATTGACGTCATAGTCAGCAGTAAACTGTGAGCAGTGAGCAGTGAGCAGTGAGCAGTAAGTAGTCAGCAGTCAGCAGTTAGCAGTTAGCAGTCGCCAGCTAGCTAAATATGAGATTGAAGGTTAGCCAGCTCGCGATGGCTGGCAATGACACATGATATTAAGACTGTAGCTGAAGCTGTCGCTCTATAGCCAGCTCGGCTGAGGGCAGACACTGGCGCCAGCAGCATATCATGAGAATCAAATCAATTCTCAAGGTGGCTGGCATCAACATGAACTGCACTCTCGGCTGCAACAATCATTGGCTCGATGAGAGACCATTGACTTGGCATGGAAACTACATTGTTTGCTATTGATTTGCACGCAAGCCAAATGGCAATTTAAGATATCATGGAACTGGTCACGTTATGCAAACGCCAACAGCTAATTGGATACGCTGGCCCATTCAGCCGGAGCATTTGGCATACATGTATGTACAAACATGCACACCATGTGCCAGCTGTAAGCCCTTAAAGCACTTTGTTAGCCCCTTTCCCCCTGCACACTTTTACTTTCGGCATTCGTTAATTGCACTACTTAAGCAGCGGGCGGGCCTGGGTTACTTTCCAAAAAAAAAAAAAAAAAAAAAAAACCTTTTCTCGAAAATTGCTAACAAAAGAAAATGATTATATTTCTAAGCATGCTGGCAATCAAATTGCCAGAGTGACATAATGAGCGACAGCGTCGGCAATGTTGCAGCTTCGCATTGTACTACAACTATGTAAAATGCAGCATAATTTATTATAATTAATTGTAATTAACTAATTTAATATTTTTAACGTCTCGTTCAGTTCGCCTTAGGCGGCGGAGAGAAAGATGCATAAATGCAACACAGCCAACATGCAACCAACGACTGTTATATGAGCCGAAGTATGGATTACAATATGATTATCACAAGCTAAATACAGGCTA